TAGGCCTTAATTCAGAAATTGTTACTGACTTCAGCAGGCTTTGAATCAGGCCTGTAAAGTTTAGTGAATATAGATTAGGGCTTTGGAAAAGCAAAAATTTCTTGTAGGTCACGCTTCAAGAGTCCAGGCTGCTCGGATGCTCTCAACAGTGATATGAGTTGATATGTGGGAAGAAGATTTAAAGTGAGAATGACCACAAAAAAGGGGCCAGATTCTTAAATGAACCAGCAAGTATATTTTTACAGATTTCTTTATTTTTCCTCTTCATTGTTTATCATTCCCTCTTTGCCACCTGAAAAAATGTTTTATCCTGCTGTGAACTTTCTCCTTCTCCCTTTAACAAATATTGGTTCTGTCCACATGTTCAACATAGAACAACCAATTAACACAGCAGCATGTATTTGTGCCCTTGTTAATTCAGTGCTGTACTGATGATAACAGCTTTATATTGATGTAAATAATATTTAGTGTAGGAAACAGGCAGCCTTCAACATAGTTCTAGAACATTTAACTTGTTAATTTTTGCTGCAAATCTAAATCATTGTGTTTACACCGGTCCTACGTGATAACCAAGATGGCTTTTTTTAAAAAACAAATCTTCTTATGAAAAACCAGTGATTTAAAAAAAAAATATATATATATACATAATCTGGAGACAAATTTACATCTGACCACATGGTGGTCCCAAACCACTTTCCTTTTAAAAAAATATGCAATATAATTATTAAAACATAAATAATGCTTTCTCTCATTCTTTTTGTGAGGTAAATTATGTGCAATACAATAGTAAAAACAGGATAGCACAGAATTTTCCTGGAATGGAAGAAAAGTCTCATCTTTAACAAAAGACAGCTATTGTTGGCACTGAGTCTTTTTTCTTCTTGAACACCCACATATCTGCACTGTACAAATAATATAAAACCGGAAAGGTAGGAAATGCAGTAGTAAGTGCCTGGGAAGAAAAAGGCTGCATAATACCTGCTCTATGATAATCTCTGCTAAAAACTTAATCAGCTTCTGTAGCAATTCTGGCAATTTATTCTAGAAGTACTTTAAACCAGCTTGTTTCCAAGAGACACTATGCTAATCCCTTCTATTTCAATGTATTTATTTATTTACTTATTGGTCACCAGGGCTACTAAGAACCAAAGTGGGGAACTGGCTATGTAATATTAACTATTTCCAGCCCTTTCCCCTTATCTATCCTTTCTTCTTTTTCTAGAGAACTGTTAAATCCACAACAAGTCGAGTGGAGAGTAGGGAAGAAGAGTGCAGTTGGAAGAGGTGTACCAGAGAGTTTGGGTTAAATAAGTTTGCTTCTATCAGCCCTAACCCAACCAGTCTTTTGGAGCATAACACTAGAGATACTGCAGGCAGCGATGTCAAAACCCTGGGATAAAGATAACAACTAAACTTTTCATCGTGTGAGGATCAAAAAACATTTAAAATATTACTGATTGTAGCCTGCTGACGGGCAAGGCAGGAAGGCACTTCCCTGTTATGTAAGTGGGAAAAATAAGGTCAGATGTTAAAATATGACTAGTAATGTGGGAGGCTAGAATTTGTGGGTGGCTGGCTAAAGCTGGCCTTCAAAGGCCTGAGTTTCTGAGGGTTGGTGCTCAGTGCCTGCTCAGGTGTTTCAGGTTGGGTAGTCAAGCTCTTTTATGCTCTTGGAAATGTTGGCCTAAGCAACTTGCCAAGATTTGCAGTGAGGCACTGATAGGAACAAAAACTCAGTTCTTTCACTACTATAGCTGGGCTGCTTTCATCATTCTGTTTATTTTATTTTATTTACACTTAACTCATACACAGTAAGAATAATAGTAACTAAAGAACAGCACTGGTGGCCTTTTAGAACATGTTCTTTGACTTCTGGTCTGCAACACTGATGCTGCTGAACTGCCTGTTTTTAGGTACCCAGCATCTCCAGCTCATCTTTGAAAAGGAGAACCACCTCTGACTGATGTGGTAGTGAGTGTGAGAAGGCTGTGAAATTCTATGTACTAAAACAATTTTACATCAGAGGTAACTTTGTGATTAAATAAAGGGAAGAGGTAGATGGGGAAAGCAGATGGAAACACCCCCATCCAATGTCTATTGTAACTACAGAAGTGGGATACAAGAGGGTGAGATTCCAAAAGCACTCTCTGTTTCTTTTACAAATGTCTCTGACTGAGGAAATATTAGTGCCACTACTGTGGATTCCAAGGTCTTATAAATTACCCGTAGGTACCAACTCTGGGTTACCTTTACATGGCACTAATCCGCAAAAATTAGGAGAGAGAATGTTAGTGTTGTCTGATTTATGTTTTAACTTACTGTTACCATACCGGGATATAAAAAAGAAGACATAGCCAGTATTTACATAGGACCTATATAAAAACAGTGTTGTGTTCATGTACTCTCTTTGGTGGCTCTGCAGTACACTTAACTACCAAATGTCATTCTCAGAGCTGTGCTGCTATCAACAGAGCATTACCTGGGACACAGACAGAGATGCATATGTTCAGAGGCATAGCTGAGCACTTGAGTGCCCTGAGTGGCTGCTCTACACAAGGCAGTGCCAATGGCTGTGCTGCTGGTGGCACAGCGGTGGCCAGGACAGCAGCACACCTACCTCCCCCAACTCCCTAGGTCAGTCTCAGCCATCCCTCAATGGCTAGTGTAGATCTTCATTTCAGTCTCCATTAAACATATAAGAAAGTGCTTGATGATTGAAACAGGATGAAACAAATAGTATAGTTATTTAATCTTCAAGCTTTATGGGGGACCTGCACTCTGTGAAGTGTAACAGAATAAATGCCGCATTAAAACCACACTAAATAATGTTGTGTCAACTTAATTGAATTGGTTTAAATTTTTAATGGAATTATAGACGCATCTGCTTCATTCTACAGCTCTTTGACTCCAATTCCGCATTGCCTCATTCTTTTTGTATTTATTCATGGCAATGAAAAGCAAGTGCGATGCATCCTGTGGTAGTTTTTACTGCCACTTTGCAGTGGTATTAATGACTACAGAAAGAACGTAGCAGTAGTGTGTTGGATCTCATACTGTGTAACAGCATATAAGGCTACTGAACTTCTATTTTAAACAATATATAACTGCACCGTAACTTATTTTGTTATTAAAGACTTTGCTTATAAAAGCCCAAGCCCCTGGCTCCAAGGGTCTTTGTAAGTAGGGACTGATTATGTGTGATAAATTCTAGTGCAACAGAATTTACGTAGCATACAAGGAGTCCTCAGATTATAGTGTTCCTATGGATGCTGGGTATGTCCTGAACGCTGATAAGCTAACACATGAGGTCAGAAAGTTCACTGTAATTGGGATGCTACTCTGTTGAAGTTCAAGAGGTGAAAACTCTCTTATCAGATGAATGCCTGTAAAATGACACAACTGTAATTCTCCAGAAAGAAAGCAGGGCAAATAAATCTGTGAGAACTGCAGGTTGAGGAAAGAGATACAGACAAATCAGCATAGTCTTAGACTTTCTGACCATATTGATCAACTCACTATTTCTCTTCTGGGATCTGTATGAGACTCACACACACTGAAAAAGCATGGTAACACATGCCTTCTACTTTGCTATGAAGTGAAGAGCAATAAAAACTGCTTTGGGCTTGCTAGTGTTGGAATATCCCAGGTCTGTGAATCCTGCCTTTCTAGCCCATCAAACTCTCTGACTAGACTTTAAACAGTTCAGGATGATTTAATAACTAGTAATAACATCTGTATTTATGCCTAAAATGTTCCAGCTTCAGGATGGAGGTGATTTGACCATGTACAGGGTTTAGGAGGGTATTTTTATCCCCGTGTATAGCACTGTGCCCCTGCCTAAGTAAATATTCATATGTAAGTAATTGCTCCTGAACTCATTGCTGTAGAAATTTGAATACCTCAAAACAGTAACAAATTATGCTTCAATATCCCTGGAAGGGATGAAAGCATTATTATTGTTCATTTCATAAATAGGCAAACACAGGAAAAGAGAAGTTAAGTGAATTAATGACAATACTTTCCTTTTCCTTTGTTTTGTGCTGCCATGCCTTTCTCTGAACCACCAATTATTAGCTAGTTCCAGAAATACAGCAGTGTACCAGAAAGATCCAGGTCTGATATATAATGGAAAATCTCCATATGAACATACTTTTCGATCCCTAAATCCTAGCTTCAATCTGTACCTCACTTTCCCTATAAAATTACAAACCCAGTCTGTCTCCAAACTCCCTGTATGACTGCTCATCATAAAGCTTTATGACACTTCATGTAATTTTTTTAAAGATTTCTCTTTAAAGTTAATCCAACTTAACTGGCATATAGAATCTATAGTTTCCCCCCACTTCTTTTAAAAATGCAGTCTTTTAAAAATGTAACTTTTTCAGCTTCTTTGCTGAGTCCGTTGCTCATAATAATATGCCTGGTTGCTGTGGAGATTATCATGAATGCTTCTAAATAAATTGTATTGTTAGTTCTTTAAGAAGTATCAGTTCCTACAAGAACAACTACAGCGCTACACTAACCCACCAGTGCACACAAGCCTTAATAAGAAAGCAATAAGATACTTACACTGCTGGGATATAGGAGTGGCAAAGGAAGCAGCAGAAGTGGAATAAGGACAACCAACAGCAGGTTTCTGGCCCTGAGAAGCTCCTTCATGACTGCCATACTGTTTCACTTCCCGGGCACTCTCTTCCTTGGTTTGTCTTCTTTATCCACTGAGGCTTCTATTTCAGCACTGGATCCTTCTTCAATTTTGCCCTAATTTTTCTAACAGGGCTCTGTCTGCACTGTGCCCTTTCCCCCAACACCCACTTACAATGTCTTTGTTAATTTATTTGTTCTTTAATTTTTTTTTAATTAAATCCTATCAACTTTGCTGCTTTTTTTACTCGGGTTTATGTAGGGCTTACAAGTACGTCCTTATGATTATTGTGCTGTAATCTGCAGGGGTTTGCAAGCTGGAGCATAGTGGTCTTGTTGGTAATGGTCTTTTTACTTAGAATCAGGGAAGTTGCAGTATTGACTTCTCATCCCTGTTTCTTAAAGTCTCTTTTCCTTCCATCATTTGGTTTGCAGTGATGTCAGTCCTGTTTTAGTAAACCAAGCCTTATATCCTTATAGTCACCCACAGTCTCTTCTTCCTGGCTTGCTAATATTGCAGTCTGATTCTCCCAACTCAGATTTCTTTATGCTTGGATAATTGTTAATATAAACGATTTACAGCTTAAAGCACTTAAGGAAATGTGCAGGGGTGGGCTTTTTTGGGGGTGGATTTTTTTTTTTTTTTTTAAGATTGCCTCCTCTTCTAGCCCTCTGCCTTGTGCTCTATGCCGATTTCTTCCCTATAAGATTCTAATCCTCTCTTTTCTGCTTTAAGTTTACCTTTCCCCTACATATCCTCAGCCTGGAATCCACAGAGCAACAGTCCTTGCAAAGATTATCCTCAGTCTTAAGATAAAAACTTATTAAAAAGCTTTGTCCAACTACAATTCACCAATGGGAAAGATGAAAAATGGTGGAAGCTCCGCCCCCTTATCTAAGAGCCAATCAGGAAGTTAGAGAAAATAAACAACCTTCTCTCACAAAAGAAAGCCTTTTCTAGTTGGCCTTCGGTGTTGTTATTTCAAGACCTGGGAGCTGTTGATAAATAAACAACCATTGTTTTTCTCTAAAATATACTTTCTCTTTCATGATCCCGATGGCTTCATTCCAGGAAGGCTAATAATTCATCAGGGATGTGCTCTACTCTTTGCCTATGTATACCTCACAGCAGTTGGGCAGTGGAATTCAGACTCCCCAAGCATAGGCTTCTGCTGGATTAGGTAAAACAGCATGTCCTGTAGCAATGATAACATTGATTTTGATATGATTAATGTGGAGTCGACTGACAGTACTGAAGGCTTCAGGAACATATTTCATCCATTGGTCTGGTGTATCCACAGATTGCAGGGCACCCATATCTAGTGTGTTGCATGTTGTAAGAAACCACACATATGAAGGCCCAGTTCCAAAACAGGCTCAAGTTATCCAACATCATCTCTACCAAACCTACCCAAAGTCAGGCCTGCTGGCAGCCTGTAGAAAAACTGAGCTGTACAGGTCAAGTAAAAGAGCAGCACAGCACCTCTACTGAGAGCTGCAGGTTCAAGGTGTGGTGTGAGTTCCTGCTGGTCAAAAAATGCTTGCCAAATAACTGACACGTCTTATTATTCCTCCGGATTCCCTAATGGTCACTAGTCAGCAAACGGAGGCTTGAAAATACAGTGCCTGTAGTTTAAGCCCTATATCACAGATGTCTGATCCTCGTAAGTAAGAGAACTAGATCTGAAGAATGCAGAGATGGGTAGTAACAATCAGAGATGGGGTAATGAAATATCTGTGCTGCTAAGATCTGTGTGCAACCAACCTCCACTGTTGGGGTCTTCACAACAACCCAGACTGTAGCTATGGCAAAACACACACCATGTCACATATTGTTAATAACTACCTGCAGACTAAGCTCAGTGGCAGACTACAGGAACTGCATATGGCCACTGAGGACACTATCACATGGCTTGGTGGTTACACACAAGCTGACTGACCAGGGTAATGAAGGGAAGCTAGGGACAATGGAGGGATACTGAAAAGAATGGTGGAAAAAATGAAGTCCTTCCTTGTACTATTTTTAGGTGTCATTATTACCCACTATTGTCCCCACACTGTAGAACTGGGAGGCTGAAAAGACAGAAGACATGGGGTGAGAGTCTCCACCTTCTTGTTTGCACTTTTGTTTTCATCCATGGGACATATAGGACTGTGGAGTGAAAAGTGGAGATAAAAGACCACCACTATCATAGCAAGGCTTTCCAACCATTTATCAAAAATGGAACATGGTCACACACATTTCAGGACAGAGGAGAACAGAGCCATAAGGGGAACATTCTGGGTGCAAAGAAGGAACTTTAACATCTGTAACAGTGATTGCAGATGATGGTTTGAAACATTCACCTTCTTGATGCTGTAGCCCATGTGATAAGGAAGAGAAAAATGAAGACACCAGTCTTCAGTTGCAACCATGAGTAGCTGACTCTGGCATGAACTGTGCCAGAGTTTATTGCTGTGTGCTAATTATACTTGTAGATGCACCCTTAATTTATGTGTATGAGTAGCCTGGAAGAGGAAGGCTATGCACAGCAGGGACATCTGTCTAGAATCAGCTCTATCATTCTGAACTCTTTGCCTTTTTTTCACTTCCCAGTGGTAGAAAATTGGGAAACTCATATTTGAATCTTAACTATTCTTCCTCTTGGAAAAAAGTGAAAGATTGCTTCCTCCTATTCTCATTTGCTCTGCGTATTCTGTATCCTCTACTTGTGGAAAAGCTAATTACCCCAAGGGGTGGGGCAGGGGGTTCTACACTATTTATTCTTCCCACCAAATTCCTGCACTATTAGATATATTTGCCCAATGTTTTTTGTTCTGCTAGAGTGGGAGCATACCTGTGATTCACCCAGACAGAGCACTGTAAGAGCAACATGCATTGTGCTAAAATAAGAAGATATTAGTCCAACAGACTTCATGCATCATTTTTTTGGCAAAGCATTTCAGTTTCCTGAAAACTAGTGTGAGCCATCACTTGGCTACTCCTAGTATTAAGAGAAAGAGCTCCAGGAATTTTCATCAAAATATAAACTTGAAAGTTTGCA